AGCCAGAAAGCTAAAACTTTACAGGAATGTCTCCTACTCAAGTACAACCAAAACATTTCAAACTCAGCTCCTTAGAATCGTTCGGGTCTCATGTAGGGAAAGGCGAAAACCTTAGTAGGAAAGCTGCTAACTCAGGAAAGGAAGAGCTGAAAAGCTAAGATTTCAAGGGAATATCCCCCGTTTATGTGCGACTAAAAGATTTAATTCAGCTCTTCTCGCGGGGTCTTTTTCGAACACGAGCAAGTTTCCGTCTTTCGGGTAACTGAAGCCGAAATTTACAACTGACACGCCACAAAATTCTTAAACTTTGAAGGCTAGCACTTTGTAAATTGTAGCTAACGGGATTCCTTGCGACCCTGCTAAAGCACAAAATAAAACACAGTCGCATGATCATAGCGGTCTACTGGTGCGCTTCGCCAGTGTTTTAATATTTCAGTTTATCCGTGTACATTTTATACGACTTATGAATGTTTATCTGATTTTTATACTGATTTGTTAATAAACAGTTCCTAGTCAAAAATTTTCTCAAATTGAAAAGCAACTTCCAGAATATCTTTAATTCAGTGAGGACCGAGGGATGGGTCGATGCCCTTCAGCAAGCTGAATTGCTAGTTGATGCCATAAAAATTTATCGGGAATGATAACTCTGCAGAATAAGTTCTGCTGGTGGGCAGTGGATATCATGAATGGGGCTCGCCTTTACCGCAGCGGCATGTCGTCCGTGCTGGAGCGTAACATTGCAAAGAAATGCAAGCGTGGTCCATCGGCGTACGGATTATCATTCATGAATATCACAACTCAGAGGCATTTTATGTTAGTTTGTCCTGAATCGTTCCATATTCATTGCTATCGACTGATAAAAATCGGTCATAAGTGCTTCGCTAGCTCTTTGTTGAAAACTTGGGGTTTATCAGGAGGTTGTGCATACTGATACGAAAAAGAACCTATGCCTTAGGCAAGCCAAAACTAAACGTTACATAGTAAATTATGCTTTGAGTCACTTGAAATGACCGACGGAAGAAGAAAAGTAGCTCCGCCACAATGATCATAAGAACTATGTTGAAAAAATCAAAAATGATGTGAAGAGGTCGCTATTGCGAAGGTCGAACACGGTCATGGGAGCTTAAACAACAAAGACTGCCGGCCAGTTGGCACAAAAATCAGAAAATCCAGTGATCCTGGGTCGCTCTGGAGGTGTTTTTCCGTGTTTATATAATAGTGCGAATTTTTACAGTAATGCTGAGGAACTGACGGTTCTTCAGGAGCTATCCAAACCTGCCTATTACGGGTGATATTTTTCAGTTGGCTGCATAGCAAAATACTTGTACCGCCGAGCTGATTCTAATTTTTCCGGAGGAATTTTCCAAGATGTTTTTTTTTTCGCTTAACGTTTTTTTACTTGTTCAGTTGATCGATGCTTTCTTTGATTCCGGATGTAGGGAGTTTGTTACTGTTTCAGCGGTTCTATGAAAACTAACGATGACAAGAAGCAATATCAAGAGATCTTAGCAGAAGTGGCCTACTACTGCTGTACAGAATGTAGCGAATACAAGGTGATCAGTAAAAATCCTTTATTTGGCACAAAAAATTTGTTATCATCAATTAGTGCTGTGCAGTACTTAACAACGAAGTACAGTCTCGCTAGCACTGTGACTGCCAACTCTACGTCGGCAGTGCTGCAAATGCAGATAATCGTGGTTTGAAAAAGGAACGTCAAATAATAATTTTTGGTTATTGCCATTCTTTTTTTTCTTTCTAAAACTGTTTCTGGAGTGCCAGCAGTATTAGCCAGTGGTTCAGATTTGTTAAGGTAAGCTGCATTATTAACGGGTAATGCTGGTCCACAGATATAGCTCAACAGAATCAATGCATCAGCATTAGCGAATTGCTGGGTTATTAAACCTTTATCAGTATACAAAACTCAGTACGTGACATAAGTATCGGCATAACATGCGTACTCAACAGAAAAAGCATAAAACCAGAAAACAGTGTAGGCGGTCGCAGTATAGTGAGCGAACGAAGAGATTAAAAAGTTTTTTCAATCGTTTACCAAGAATTACATATTGAATCGATTCGCTTGATACAGACTGATATCACGCTTAATACTTATTGTTGGCTCGATTTAATAAGGGCGAGCGATTCGAATGTTGACAGGAGTTACTTAGGCGGCTCCTGTAGCTAAAAATTACTTAGACAAAGTAGCAGAGCGAGGTTATTAATAAAATGGTACATCAGGCGCAAATAGTATAGTTGATCAGGTGCACAAACGGGCTCAAAGGTGTCTTTAATTGATGATAAGGCAGCAGCAAACTGCATCGTTAATTAG